TGTATATAACCTTCATATAGATACAAAAATGCATATATGCTTCCAAAGGGTCCTTATCACTCCAACCTAACCCATCCTTGAACGTTTACTCTCACTAGTGAATGTATGTGGACTTTCCAATTTTAAGGAAAATCCGGCAGCATTTCCCCCCAGTTCTCCAAGTACACGACGTAGGTAATTACTTACCCACATATGTACCCAGAGAACATGGTGATCGAGGAAATGGTAAGCCAAGATGTTCCTTAAAATAAAAAAAAGACATACATTCACCACCTAAGTGAGAGTACACGTTCAAGAACAGTCCCAACCGGGGACTATTCAAGACTTTCTCCTAATGAGAAAGCCTTGAACGGGTATCTAGGCATATGATGATGCAACCATTTCATATATTTATTGTTGTATTTATTTGTCATTATATAATACACAAGTTGTAATAGCATGAAAAAACTTTTATTAAAACAATAAAGAGAAAGAAATATATATAGCTTAGAGAAGTTTATAATTCATACCAATACAATGGATGTATTCTTTCTAACTTCCCACTTGAGCTAAATATGTAGTCATCAAGCTAAACTTGAACTTCAATTCACATATGAATCTATAAAAACGCAAAAAGAAAAAACAAAACAAAAAACAAAGGTTAATAAGTATGTATGAGAAATGGATAATAAATACAAATAGGGGCATATGATTAAGGAATGAGAGAGAAAATAGAGATACTCTAAAGTTAGCAAGCACATGTGAAACTATGCCTAAATTATTCCGCTTATTAGCATTTATACCTTTCTAATTACTTTCCTTGTCTTCTAAATGTGGCTTGCTGTACAAGCATCATTGATTACACCAATAACCCAACTCTTAATCCTACCATTTACACCCAATTGTCTCAAGTTTACTTATACAATTCATCCAAACTGCGAAACTATAAGCCTTGAACTTCATTGTTAATTTTTATGATAATTATTACACAACAAACAAAGTAACATACCAAAGTTTGACCGAGACAAACTCTGTTGCTAGACCCTCCCACCTCCACCCCTTCCTTTGACTTTTGGCATGGCACGTTAAACAAAGAGATTTAAGAGTACCAATAATCAGACACAATACTTTAAAAATTTTAAAGTTAAAAACTAAGGTTAAAAAAATATTTGAAACAAAAAGGGGTTACAGCTCCTATCAAACCTATCTCATCAATAATCAATAGCATACACAACTCCTAAACTTTGAAGTAAGGCAGAGAACAATTCGTAGAAACTTAAGGAGAGCCCAAGACATTAGGCAGAGTACCAAACCAAAAAGCAAAATTACAAATTGGAAAGTTGAGACCATGATAATCAATTGCACAAACAACCACCTTTAGGTTCACTGCCGTGCAAGCAGAGTTTGGTAAGCAACACTTCCTAAGTTCTTATAGGTACTGTCTTCTAAAAACAGAAGGGTTGAAATGTACCTGAAACTGGCGCCTTAGACAACCGTGACAAGAAGGTCGTTGTGGAGGGGGAGCAATGCGCGTCTATTGACAAACCCTAGATTACTAAATTGAAAAGCAAATCCTCAAAAAAGTCAAGAGTATGAAGGAATTCATCAATGCAGTAAGTAAAACCTAAGCTAGCTACTTACCTTGAAGCTGCTTCAATGGAGGAGAGATGGGTATGGAGTACGAATGTCCGGTAACTGCTTCAATGGAGGTGAAGCTCGCACAACCCTTCAATGGAAGTGAGAAAGCTAGCTAGGAGATGGAGGGAGAAGAGAAGAGGGAAAATTGCGTGGGAATTGAAGACAAAACGAAGGAATGAAGAAGAAAGACGTTGTTGAACCTAGCTATAGCAAACCCACATTTTTTTTTTCAAAAATGGCACCGGTTTAAACCGGTGCTAATTACCTTAGTTGGCACCGGTTTAAGGAGAACCGGTGCCAACTCCTTCCCATACTTTTTTTTTCATAAGTTGGCACCGGTTTGAACTGGTGCTAATTAAATGCTTGGCACCGGTTTTGGTTAGAACCGGTTTTTTCTACTAGTGCATCTTCATATACTGGTTCACTCACAGTTTTGGTCTTATATCCAATTACCTTTCTTTTGTCAGTAATAGGATTATTTGGATCTTCATTTATCTCTAAATTAGAATATGAACCAATATCAATACTATGTCTTGTTGGTTGTTTTAAGGCTTTCTTAGTTTCATATTTTTCATTTAGCTTCTTTATTAAAGCTAATATTTCTTCTTCATCTATACCATCATACCAGTCTTCTACACAACCTTAAAAACTATGTTCGATATAGTTTAAGAAATTTGCAGAAGTCGATTTAGTTTTTAGATTAAATACACTACTCATGCTCTTTTTCCACTGATCTAAAACATCTTTTCTATCTCTTACACCATCTAATTTAAGCTTATAACCAGTTTAGCTTATGGGTTCAAGAGTTACTTCTTCTTGTTTAGGTATTTGATTAGGCATAACTTTGACACTAAACCAGGTAGTCTTCCCTGGTATGTATCTTGGTCGTGTACAACTTCCTTCTCATTGATACCTAGGTCTTTGGATAACATTGTTAATTAACATTATTTTCATTAATGATTTCTTCTCCAACGTCATTATTATCCATTACTCTTTTACCTAGTTTATTATCATTTTTTTGTTGAACAACTTCGACAGGTAGAAAGTCTAGATCATCTAACTTCATTAATCCCATTTGTTGATATAAATCTTCTTCTAAAGAAACATAATTATTTTCCTTTATTTCATTATCAGAATCAATCCCTTTTTCAGAAATTATGTTCATGATCTCATTGAGTTTATCAGGGTCTTCTTCCTTATCAAATAAGATTTTTAATTCTTCAAACGTTTTCACGTGAAGATGATGGTTCATCTTTAGTCTCTTGATTCTTTTCTTTTTCACTAGTGGGTCTTTTAGGAAGTAAAACAATAAACTTCTTATTTTTATCTAAATTTTGAAAAGGATATTTATATATATAAGGGGCGATCTTTTCCTTATTAGGTGATACTTCTTTATTAAATTAATGTCTAACTTCGTTTGTTAAAGCAAGTTGTACTTGTTTAACTTGTTCTTTTAGATCACTTAATTTTTCATTAATGTCGGTTGTGGTTATTGATATCTTATTTTCAATATTAATACAACGAGCGTATATATTATCAACTTCTGATTTTAATTCAACAATTTGATCTACTATATAATTAAGGACTGGACCAAAATTACTAGTATTTTCCGGAATGTGATAGTAATGCTTAAAATCAGGTTTCTTACACTTAGTTGACGGCCTAGTGCTCTCCCGTTTTACTTACTAATTAATTTGATTAACAACTTAGCTTAAATTTAACCGTATGGCCCTGGTACCAAATCGTCGCAGCTGCTAATTAAAAATTAAGACTAACTAATTAAATTATAGCAAATAATAAAACAACTAGTAAATTCGCTTAAGAAAAATCGGTTTATTTAAGATCTTTCATTGGATACTACTTTTATACTGCTGGATAGTATTTTCCTACCACTGAGACTATTAATAATACTATTGAAGATTAACGAACTTAACAACTTACTTGAAATTTTTCAATAACACTTAAGATGAAATCTGCTTCCTACTACTGAGAAATAGCTTAGTATTATTGGATAACAAATTTGTACGACTAGGGATTAAAATACTACTACTGTAGACTACAATGGTACTAATTCGATTTACAAAAGTACTTTAGATATTTATGGTTTGTGAAACTGCTGAACTACCCCTTCGTTATGTATTTTTTCATACATAACCGTTATGCTTTAGTACTTCCTCATGTTTTTAGTGACCTACTAAGCTTAATAATGATATGATCGATAAACCATATAATGTACATGTCATTTAATTATAATTTATTATGTACAACAAAAATGGCAGCCATTCATTATTTAATAGGATCATTTGGGAATTGGGAGGCCTTTGATTGAGTAATCTTTCAAGTTGGTTTGACAACCGTAAAATCCTTAAATACAAAGGCTTGAACTTAGAAGTTGGGACCAACATGTATTATTATACATTTATATAAGCTGTACCATCTTACCTACTTTGTATCATTTTAATGTACTTTCTCAACAAAAGTGTAGTTAAGTTATATAAAATGACTGTTTAATTGTACATTTTTTTTTTCCCCAATTGTACCGATTTTAAGACAATTTATATATTGATACAAAATAACTTAGCAACTTTAACTTCGAGGTTTTGAGAATTACACATTACTGGAAAAGATAAAGTCATCTTTAAAATTCTTTTTTCAACAATCGACACTTTCAAGATAAATAAGGAGTACTTAAAGATTTATCTCACGATTAATTTTTGAAACTTTCGCCTTTCCTCTCCTCTTCTCTCCTCCTTTCTTCTAGGGTTTCTTCAAATTCTTGGCCCTTTAGGTTAGGAAATTAGACTATTTCCGATCCTTTTCTCTTAATTTTCTTTAGTTTTGCAATTTAGTTTTCAATAAATCTACACAAGTAGTGTAGATATTCGTTCGTCTCCCCATGGTAGAGTCGTTAGTTTAGTTGTTTGTTTTTGTTTAGGTTTTTTTGTGTGTGCTAGGATTTATTAAAAAGGTTTTTTCCCCTATTATCAGTTCGTTGGTAGAGAGTTGTCCGAGATCGCAACGGTTGTCAAATCTTCAAAGGCGTTCAAGTGAATCAGATGAAAATCATCCTTACGGCTACCACAAATCGTTATATCGTCTCTCCGAAAAGGCTTTATATTCCAGCGATGTGTGCGGGAGATGCACCACAGTGCAAGATCTATTCAACGATCGTAGCTTTGATGAAGGAAACTCTTATTTAATTGAATTTTATGTATTTGTTGATTAGATTTCATTTGTGGATGCCATATAGCTTTTGATTAATGAGTTGATTTGTTTTAAAAAAAAAAAGAATACTTTGTAAGTAAGAAGAAAAAGAAAATTCAAACACACTTATCTAATTAAATAAATTCAACATATTTAAAGTAACAACTTGATGCATTAATATTGCTCGAACAACAAATGATTAAAAGCGAAACCATCCTGAAGTCAAGGCAACTATAAATAGACTTCATTTCCAAGGCTAGTTCATTGCATTTGTAAAGGTACATACGTGTTTAACCATATACATTAAAAAGATCGAGGCAGAGAGGATGGTGAGAGAAACTGAGATAGCGCAAGTGCTTTGCATGAAGGAAGGGACTGCTGAAAACAGTTATTCAAAAACCGCATACACGCAGGTAATTTCTTTGACATTATTTTACTTAATTACTATTCCCTCTGTCCTTCGTCTTTTTATTATTACGTACTTTACTCCCTCATTCTCATTTTACTTGTATTAGTGATTATTTTATGTTACGGAGTAGAATTTTTTTGAGTTAAATTGGGCATTACAAAGTTTTTTTTTTTTTTTTTTTTTTTCCATCAATGAATAGTTTTTAGTTTTTTTAAAAAAAGATTTAAAATTTATTTTTTCCTACTATCATTGAATTTTATGATTTACTATGATTATTAAATTATATCAATCATTTAGAGAATAAACTATACTATGAAATTGAATTATATTGTTGGCTGTGCACTAGTCTATAATTAGACCAAAACTGAATGGACTTGGACCAGAATCCCAAATCTTTGTGGACTGATCTGAAAAATTCCGGTATAATCTGATTCTGACCTTATTTTTCCGGTTTAATTTGATCTAATTTTAGACATGTTAATTTAACTGACTTTCGACTTTTAATTTATTTTAAAAAAGACTACTTATAATATCAACAATCTAACAACAAGACATTACAAAATAAATATGAATTTAAGCTAGACAACACCCTTTTAATAATTCCTCCGTTCTTAAATAATTGACACGTTTTACTTTTTTTTTTTCTTTTCACTGTTCATGTGCTAACTTTGACCATCGTTTTTTAGTAAAGTTTAAAAACAAATTTTTACCATAAAATAAATTTATTAAATAGTCGGATATTAATTAATTTAAAGTTTCATAATATCAACTTTTTTTATATTTTTATTTACCAATATTTAATTATATATATACATATGTGCAAAGTTTGACTATATCAATAATTCATAAACATATGGAGTAAATCTAATGAACTTTGATAATCTCTCAACCTCAGAACCGAATACCAACACTACCCCACCCCACTCGACCCCCTTCTTTTTTTCTTTTACCTTTTCTATTTCCTCTATATAGAATATCAAAATTTTTAACAAATACTTCTTGAGTTCCGTAAAAATTCACCAAATGCCCTTGTTGTTTTCAAAACTCACCAAAATACCCCTCACCTTTCCACAAATACCTCATAGTCGGGGTCAGGGTGAGGAGAAGGATTTTGTCCGACGTCCAGAAGGTAGTGGCTGGCAAGGGGGGCAAAGGTTGGGGATTATTAAAAAAAAAGCGCGATTAATAAAATACAAAAGTTTATTTTGATAATATATGTTAAATTTAAAGACTTTTTTGGCAAATTTTCCTAACAAATTTCAACGAGCATTACTGCATAAATATGAATATATGATTTATGTAGCACAAAATGTTACTTAGCCAAGTATCTCTACTCAATGATTGTAATTTTTTTAATGAAGCAGAGGCAGATACTATCAATGTCAAAATCCTTAAGAGAAAATGTCATAAGGGAATTCTATCGCATGGAACATCCAACAACCTTATGCATAGCAGACTTGGGATGTTCTTCTTCCGATCAAAACTGCTTGAGCGGCGTACTCTATGGGCTCATAGAAACCATTGATAAGGCTCGTCGAGAGTTCGGCCATGGCGGCCCTCAAGAGTACCATATTTGCTTGAATGATCTTCCAGGGAATGACTTCAACACTGTGTTTAGGTCGGTAACAAGTTTTAAGGAAAAGCTTAAGCAAGAAATGGGAGATGATTATGGACATTGCTTTGTTAATGGTGTTCCTGGCTCTTTCTATGGTAGACTTTTTCCTACCAATAGTTTGCATTTTGTGCACTCCTCCGCTAGCCTTCACTGGCTATCTCAGGTCATGATTATTTGTCTTTTTTAACAACTTATTAATTATTACCAATAACATATCACTATAAATTCTTTTGAATTATGTTGTATGTCAAGTCTATATAAACAAATAAAGTTTATCTAGTGTCATTGTTGTAAATAAATCAACAATTTTTATTAATTGTCGGTCCCACAAATATTGAATTATTTACAAAAATGCCATGCTAAGTGGGATTTTATTATTATTATTATTATTATTATTATTATTATTATTATTATTATTATTTTGTTTTTGTTTTTATTATTATTATTATTATTATTATTATTATTATTATTATTATTACGAATCTAACAAAACCCTAAATGACTATATTTTTATTTATGTAAATTACAATATGTGGTTGCAAAAGAGTACGTGTGTTAATAGTGTCTAAAGTGCAAACGTTGCAATTTTTATAAAACAAAGATAATATACCGTTTCATATTTTATATGGATAAAATGTCTGATTTTCTTAAGAACTTACTAATTATCTAGAATTTCTATTGTTTGGTTTTGTCTTTTAGGAAATCAACTTTTGAAAATGGGAGAGCAAAAACTATTAGAATACGAAGTACATTATTCTTTTGCAAAATGAGGATGCAAGTACTCCCCTTCGAATTAAAGCCATATTAGATTATGCACATTGTCTAAGAGAAGAAAGAAGTGTACTGTTTGATTTGATTGCTATACTTGTACTTAAAGCCTCAAACTTCGATGTTATTTGCAGGTACCTGAAGAGATAGAAGAGAATAAGAGGAACATTTACATGGCTAAAACAAGCCCTACAAAAGTGATAAATAGTTACTATGAGCAGTTTACGAAGGACTTTTCGATGTTCCTACGTTGTCGTTCCAAGGAAGTGGTAGCTGGAGGAAAAATGGTGCTAACCTTACCAGGAAGACAAAACAACGACCCATGTTATAGCAAGGACTCTGCTTACATGTGGGAGTATCTTGCTAAGGTTCTAAATGATATGGTTTCTGAGGTAGATCACATTGATAGATATAAATATATTGTGGATGATGTATATCTTTAGTATTCTAACATATATTAGTACGTAGTATATTATTATATCGATACATTTAGTCCCGTGTCATTGTACGTAGTTTAATTATTCACCGTAACATGCAATTAATTTTTATTTACATGCATATGAGTACAAATGTCCAGTGTTACCCTTAGCTCGAAAACATTTAGTAATTACCGAGGATGGGTGTATTATGAACATTTTGTGCAGGGTTACGTAGAAGAAGAGAAGCTAAACACATTCAACATCCCCATTTATACACCATCACCCTCGGAACTTGAGTATCTGGTGGCTAAGGAAGGATCTTTTGCTCTCAATGATGTTCATACCTTCAAAGTGAGTAGTTGGGATTCAAATGACGATCATAAGTTTGGTTGCTCAATTGACGGTACAAATCGCGATGATACTATGAATTTACAAGCATCATGTATGAGAGCCGTGGCTGAATCCTTAATCAGTAGCCATTTTGGGGAAGCAATCATCGACGAGGTATTCCGAAGATATAAAGAAATTGTGCTTGCCTTATTGGCCAAAGAGAAGACTGTTTTAACTAATGTTACTATATCCTTGACAAGAAGGGAACGAGGTTGATGGCTAAGGAACTCTTTTACTTGTGGTAGCTTTTGAATAATTGGTTGCATTAATAAAAAGGGACGTGGTGAACATGTTATTGTTGTTACTAGTATTATTTGATGTTATCCTTGAGCTTTTCACTTGTTTGTTTTTATAAATTGTGCACGTCAATTTCCTCTTCTTTAGTTTATCTTGTCTCATCTTATATACACTATGTATACAACATAAATATGACCTCTTTATATTTATTTTATTATATTTTTGAGTAGATATATATAAATAATGCACTTGTTTTAACACGTTATTTAACAAGTTAGTTTGAAAAGATTAATGATTTAATGGACCAATTAATAAAAATTAGTTAAAAACATTATGACACGCTAACTTCTATGGCCCTATTTTGTTCCAACTATTTAATTAACCTTGCCTTACTTATGATCAACTCTACTATTAGATTGTTTCTTGAATCTATTTGCCTCATACAAACGACCCAACATGGGCTCGGGGTTGAAGTTCAAGGGCGATGCACCCTAATATAAGCTAGTTGCAGGTTCAGGGCACAATAATGTGGTTCCCAATGGGGGTTCGTGGGCAACTATGAAATTATTTTCGAGAGTTACTCCATTTTTCTGTTTGTATGTAATTTGTATTTCCTACATTTTCTTTTATTTGCGACACACCTTCATGACATATACTTTGTGGAAGAGATTTGGTAATGTAAATGGAAAAATTTATCAAAATAACTATACATATTGTACCTAACCCTTCTCTATTCTTAGCTTGGTGTTAGAATTATATTGATAAAAAAGTCATCATTCGCTTACCTATTCTAATCAACTCCCAAAAAAGTGCCTAAATACCGTATGTATTACAAGTATAAAAAAACAGAGGGAGTATTTTATCTTAAGATTTATTAATTTTACTCGTAAATGTTGCTAATATATACGAAGTACATGTTATTAGTGAACCGCGTACAATTGTATGCTCATGTACGTATTGATCATTTATTAAATTTCCTATTTTTAGTTGAATTGGTGTCTCTCCTCAAAAATCACATATAGTACAATGATTGTTTCAACTAACACATATATACTGTTGCCATGTTTTAAAAGTTAAAAATTATAAAAACACTCCTGGTTTAATTTTTCACATAAGTATGACATTTCCAACAACAAAAAATTAAGGGCTTGTTTGGCATCATTTTTTGTTTTATTTTTAAATAAAAATCCAAAAATAGGAAATAAGAAAAAAAGTGTTTTCACTTTTCTGTTGTCAGTTTTCAAAATTATCATGAGTTTAATAAATTTGACTAATTTTTTTATTCATTATATGATGTATATTATATGAATTTAAAAAAACCAGAAAAACGAAAAAACAGAAAATCACAATGATGCCAAACGAACTCTTAATTTGCTAAAATAGAAAAAACGTGACACAGTGCTCCTCAATTATATAGTGACTAACAACATGCACAAAACTACAAAACTTTTATCATATGATAAGAATGATCTAAATTATTTGGTAGATGGGGACGCAAATAATAACTATTGTCATATCTTACTTATGTTTATTGTGGTACTGAATATTTATGTCCCAAGGCTAAAATAATGAAGAACGTTTACTATAAATAATGATCAAATTTACAAAGTTATAGCACATAATTTTTTGCATAGCTCATTTAGAGATATTGTGATAGTTCTTAATACGTTAAAAAGCGACATAATCACTTAAGAGTTAAGAGTAAGGAAGAAAAAGAGAAGAGAAATAGAGCAAGAATGGTTATGGCAACTGAGTTGAAGCATGTATTTCACATGAATGGAGGGTCTGATGATACCAGTTACGCAAAATCGTCGTACATTCAGGTAGTTAGCTAGTTTTATTTTATCATGTCAGTTGATAACAACAACAAATGCATGTTTTTATCATATCTATACACGTGTCTAATTATAAACGCGTTTTAAAATCTTTACATAGTACCATACGGAATCCCCGATTACGTCATTGCATGTCACGAAATAATTATACATTTACATCTTGTACTTTACAAGATAATCCTTCATTTTCAAATGATTCTATGGTAGTCATCCTCAAAATGACTACCATTATACTAATTTTTATTAGTTGATTTTGATTTATTTTTTTAGAAAAATTGTTCCGTGTATTTTTGAGATTTTAAAAAATGCACCGTGTACCCTTGAAAACTTTCAAATGCACCGTGTACCCTTAATGTTTGTAAAAAAAAAATGCACCAAATACCTTAATCATCTAACAAATGCACATATTATTGACTTATCAAACTTAAATCATGCTCGCACACTGACTCTCTTATAGTACTTTATATTTATGCAGTAAAACCGTCTAAAAGCAAAAATTACATCTAAATTTAAACTCCATCGATCATTCTAAATCCTAAACTTTTGGATGTTAGAATTTGATTTATAAAATAAGTTTACTTGATAATTAAATGGTTTAGCATAACACTGTAATAATTTAATAGAATTTGATGCTTAGGGGGTCTCAATCTTACAAAATTACCATTTCTTATGAGTGTAGGGGTATTTGGTGTATTTTTTTTGCAACCTTAGGGGTACACGATACACTTGAAAGGTTTCAAGGGTACACGGTGCATTTTTTAAAACCTCAGGGGTACACGAAACAATTTTCCTATTTTTTAATGTCAAAATTATTTATCTAATTTAATTTTTTTTTTTATAATTTTCCTAATTAATTTACAAAATTCAGTTTTTATAATTAATGAAATTAAAACATAATTTATAAATTAATTATGAAAATATAAAAACATAAGAAAAAAAAAATTATAATTAATTTTGACATAAAAATTAAATAAAAAATTAGCCAATAAAAAATTAGGATAATGATAGTCATTTTAAGGATGACGAATGACTACCTGTTAGAGATATGAGATAATCAATATTATCGGAAAATATATGTGTGATATATTTACCGTATTGATCTTATTAGGAGAACAATATATTGAGGTTTATATTTTCCGATAATATTGATTATCTCATATCTCTAATGCTACCATAAAAATTTTATCATTTGAATCATAAACACGTAAATTTTACACTCCACTTTGATTCATGGGGTTTACTTGTAGTTGTCCTCCTACGAGGCTACGATTAAAGTATTAAATTATAGATGGTTTAATACTAAACTTCATCACAGTTGAGAGGGTTAGACGCAATTATGTATGCAATTCAATGCAAAACTTAAAACTAAATTCATTGTTATCTAGTCTCTCGTCAATTTTTTAAGTGACACTAATAGTTTCATGCAAGCTGATACATGCATGTGTTTGACCATGCTTTAAATTCATGTTTTAAATTACCTATTAGTAAAATTTTAAAAAATTGTACTATGAAAATATACAGTGACAAATTAATCCTACAACATATCATGCAATGGCGTTTAGTATTGATATATTAAAAAAAAAGTAAATCAAAGCTTTTGAATAAAAAAATTAAAGTTTGCATCAATTAAACAAAAAATAGAGTAAGGATTAAGACCTTGATCACGCATAATGATACATAAAAACCTTTTTATCCATTATCTTAGCATTAAACTCTTGAGATCTAGTGATCTACCAACCTCTTTCCAAGCTAACTTAGAGTGCTGTTGAGCTAAGGTATCTTAATTAAATGATTAATATTATACAAATAATTAAATACGTGTCATATTAAAGATTCAAGCTACACCTTACTTTTCAGTTGTAATCTTCTACAATGGTAATTTAATTTTAATTTTGCTTACAACATGCTTCCACCTTTTTTATTTTTTATATTGCAACATATTGGGAAGTTTACATTGTTTACCTACATTCTTTTGACTATCTTTTGTAATTTGTATATTGGGAAAAAAGTAATTAGGCCAGGTGTGATTTTATAATATTTTACTTAATAAATAACTTTCAAAAAAAAAAAAATCCGTAAAAAAAATATTTTATATATATTTTTTTTTACTAAAATATTTAAAGATATTGATGGTATAAAATTTGTGTTGATACACGTAAAGTTCAGAACGCTTATCAATTAAAAAAGAACAAAGAAGAGAAGTATTCTACATGACTTAAATGGCACCATACAATTAATACAACAATTTTATATTTGGTTTCTTTGAAAAATAGAGTCAAGACGGGTTGTTTATTTTGGCTGGATAGATTGAGAACGACTATACGAGTAGGGCGAGAATTATGGTACAAAAATTACATATGTTTTTTGTACCACGTGAGATTTACAAATTTCACAGAGTGAGTGCTAATGGCCAAGCAAGTTATAATTCTCTTGGAATTGTCATTGAGGTGGTGAAAAATAAGGTCGGGCCAAGCCTAAGCATAAAATTCCATGACCAAGTCCATAACATATATATAATGTTGGACTTGTCGCCTTGTCGGGCCAAATAAGCTTTTGAGGTTTTTGAACCGGACTCAATTTTTGAACTAAAAATGTATTTTTTAGGGATGACAACTGTTGATAAGTATTAGGTGACTCGTACTTCGTAGCTTTGTCCGCCCGATCGGGCGGACATTGCCCGGTCTGACCGGGCGGTGGGGGTTGGATACGTTGAAGCATTCGTATGGAGTTTTCTTCTCGCGCCCGATCGGGCAGACCTTGCCCGGTCTGACCGGGCGGAGAAGGAAAAATGCGGAGACGCGGATTTTACGATTTAAAGTTATCTTTTATGTTATCTTTTTGCCCAAGTATCTTTTATTTTAGGGATTAATATAAAACCTCCCTAATATTAGTATAAGGGTTAAGAGAGAGAGAGTGAGAGCTGTTCTTGAGAAATACAAGAATCATCTTTGTAATCTTTGCAGTTTATAGTGAAATCATTCGATCTCGGTGCCCGTGGACGTAGCTATCACATCGATAGTGAACCACGTAAATTCTTGGTGTTGTTCTTATTGTTTGCATTGAATTTCTTTATTGTTTTCTTGTTTGTTTTCGACCTTTGCTTCCGCTGTCGCACAACAATTGGTATCAAGAGCTCAGGTTCAATCCTTGGAGAGTTTCTTGAAGATAACAATGGCAGGAGATTCAACAATAAGAATTGAGAAGTTTACCGGGAAAAATAGTTTCGGGCTATGGCAAATTAAGATGAAGGCTCTGTTAAAACAACAGCAGATATGGCGTCCGTTGGCTCCAAAGAGTACTACTTCGGAGTCAGAAGATGGACCGACTGACCCGCAGTTAGAAGTTATGGAAGAGAAGGCACACTCTACCATATTACTTAGTCTTGATGATCAAATCATCACGGAGGTGGCTGATCAGGAAACGGCGGCTGGATTGTGGCTGAAGCTGGAGTCATTGTATATGACTAAGTCGTTGACCAACAAATTATTACTGAAACAGCGGTTGTTTAGCCTCCGGATGCAGTCAGGTACTTCCTTACGGGAACATCTAGAAAAACTTAACTCTATTTTGCTTGATTTACGTAATTTAGATGTTAAAATTGATGATGAGGATGCTGCGTTGATTTTACTTGTATCTCTACCGTCTAGCTTTGAGAATTTTGTAGAGTCTTTTGTTGTTGGTAAGGATTCTATAACCTTAGAAGAAGTGAAGGCAGCACTTCATACTAGGGAACTCAGAATGAAAGCTACGAGTGATAATGGGGATAATGGTAGTGGGTTGTTTGTTAAGTCCGGAAAGTCTAAAAAGAATAAGGGGTTTAACAAGGGGAACAATGCTGGGTCGGGTGCTGGAAACGGCAAGGATGGATCTAGTAAAACTACTACTAAAACATGTTATTACTGTAAAGAACCGGGTCACTTTAGGAATAATTGTCCGGTGAGGAAAAACAAGTCCCAGGCTGCTGTAGTTGAAGAGAAACCGAATGAGAGCTATAATTCAGAGGAAGATTTAGCATTAGTCAGTTCTGCTAGGTCTGATGATTTATCTGATAACTGGGTTCTAGATTCGGGGTGTTCGTTCCATATGTGTCCACGTCGAGATTGGTTTGATACATATGAACCTCGCAATGGGGGTATGGTTATAGTCGGTAACAATGCTCCATGTAAGGTCACAGGTATTGGTTCCATGAGGTTGAGGACTGTTGATGGGCGGAGGTTAACTTTGACTAATGTACGGCATGTTCCTGCTTTAGGAAAGAATCTGATTTCATTGGGTACCCTGGATGACTTGGGGTACAATGGTGTGTTTTCAGATGGGGAGTTGTGTATTTTCAGAGGTTCTGAGTTGGTACTTAAGGGTATCAAAAGGAACACCCTCTATGTTTTTGAGGGTGTTACACTGCCTAGTTCTGCGGTTTGCGCATCTGTATCTCACCAGGAGATGACTAAGATTTGGCACATGAGGCTTGGTCATATGGGGGAGAAGGGGATGCAGCTATTGTCCAAGAGGGGTCTTCTATCCGGGGTCAAGGTTGCCAACCTTGAATTTTGTGAGCATTGTGTGTTTGGTAAGAAACACAGGTCAAAGTTCAGCAAGGGTGCTCACATTACTGATGCAGTGCTCGATTACATCCATTCAGATTGCTGGGGTCCATCTAGAGTTGAAGGTATGGGAGGTTACCACTATTTTGTGTCATTTGTTGATGACAAGTCCCGATACACATGGCTTAGGTTGCTTAAGTCAAAGGATGAGGCCTTCAAAGTTTTCAAGCAATGGAAAGCTTTGGTGGAAAATCGACAAGGAAGGAAGATCAAGAAGCTACGAACGGACAATGGGCTAGAGTTTTGCAAAGACGAGTTTAATCAGTTCTGTGCAGATGAGGGTATAGGTCGGCATCATACTGTCAGGAAGACACCACAGCAGAACGGTGTAGCAGAACGGGTTAATCAGACACTGCTAGAGAGAGTTCGATGCATGCTCTCTAATGCAGGGCTTGGGAGGAGGTACTGGAGTGAAGCTGTGTTAACAGCTTGTTATGTCATTAATAGGGGTCCTCATTCTGGAATTGATTCCAAAATTCCGTTTGAGATCTGGAGTGGTAAGTTGCCTAATTTTTCGAATTTGAAGATTTTTGGTTGTGTTGCTTATTATCATGTTATTGAGGGTAAGCTGGATCCACGAGCCAAGAAGGGGTGTTTTGTTGGGTACGGGGATGGTGTGAAGGGGTTTAGAATTTTTTCACCTTCGGAGGTCGGGTCATTCTTAGTAGGGATGTTACTTTCGATGAAAACACCATGTATTCAATTAAAAATGCAGAGATTTCAGATTTGAGAAGGGAAGGAGACAATTTATTACAGACAGATGGGGTACTTGAGGTACATCAGTCTACCATTGCTGATTTACCTCGGGTACAATATATTGATGATGATGCTGATGTTCCAGTGCCGGGTACTCCTGAACCTGAGATTACTCCTACTCATTCTAACTCTGGGGATGAGGTGGAGCAATCTAATCAGGGGTCATCTAGTCAACCTGACACCATTCTTGAGATGCCTAAACGAGTTATCAAGAAGCCTGTTAGATTGATTGAAGAGATGGAGGGAAGAAATTGCTGTGTTGATGCGATGACAGGTTATGCATTGAGTGTAGCTGATGATGTAGAGTCATTTGAACCTGCCACATATAAACAAGCAATTAGTTGTAGTGAGTCTGCGCAATGGCTTGCCGCAATGGGTGAAGAGATGCAGTCTCTTTACAAGAACAGAGTGTGGGAACTGGTAAAGGTACCGGAAGGGAGGAAGCTTGTGGGTTGTAAATGGATTTACAAGAAGAAAGAAGGGTTGTCGGAAACTGAGCAAATACGTTTTAAGGCTAGGCTAGTTGCTAAGGGGTTCAGTCAGGTAGAAGGGGTTGATTTTGTTGAGATATTCTCACCTGTGGTTCGACATACTTCTATCCGTGTGTTATTGTCAATTGTAGCACATTTTGATCTTGAGCTGGAGCAGTTGGATGTTAAAACGGCTTTCCTTCATGGCGATTTGGAGGAGGAGATTCTGATGAAGCAGCCCGAAGGATTCGAAGTTCCTGGAAAGGAACACTATGCCTGCAGATTGCTAAAGTCATTGTATGGACTTAAGCAATCCCCCCGACAGTGGTACAAAAGGTTTGATTCTTTTATGGTTTCACAAGGTTTTGACAGGAATTCATATGATTGCTGTGTGTATCATAGTAAGCTGGATAATGGTTCCATGATTTATCTTTTGTTATATGTTGATGACATGTTGGTTGCCACAAAGAATAAATCTGATATTGCTAGATTAAAGGAGATGCTTAACTCGGAGTTTGACATGAAAGACTTGGGTGCAGCTAGGAAGATTTTGGGTATGGAGATCTACAGGGATCGGGCTAGAGGTAAGCTTTTCTTGACTCAGAAAAGCTACATTGAAAAGATTTTGTCTCGTTTTGGGATGGAAAAATCGAAGCCTATAAGTACGCCAACTACTGTTAGTTGTAAGTTGTCTTTGTCTATGTCACCTCAATCAGAGGAGGAGTTGTCTTATATGTCTAGAGTTCCATATGCAAACGCGGTTGGTTGTTTGATGTATGCTATGGTCTGTACTAGGCCGGATATTGCGCATGCTGTTAGTGTTGTAAGCAGGTTTATGGCTCGACCTGGGAGGGAACACTGGCAAGGGGTGAAAAGGATTTTTCGCTACCTGAGAGGGACAACTGATATTGGTCTTGTGTACGGGAATGGTAGGGAATGCTTGGTCACTGGGTACAGTGATTCTGATTATGCAGCTGATGTGGATACCAGGAGGTCTGTGACTGGTTATGTGTTCACTTTGGGTGGTTCTGTGGTTAGTTGGAAGTCTACATTGCAGTCATCAGTTACGTTGTCAACTACTGAAGCTGAGTATATGGCTTTAACTTCTGCAGCTAAGGAGTCTATTTGGCTCAAAGGCCTAGTAGGTGAACTGGGTATTGCACAGGATTTTGCTACAGTGTATTGTGATAGTCTAAGTGCGATTTGCTTAGCTAAAGATCAAGTACACCATGATCGGACGAAGCACATTGATGTCAGGTATCATTTCTTGCGTACTGACAAGAGGATTAAGGTGAAGAAGATTGGGACTGCTGACAACCCGGCTGATTTCTTCACTAAGCCTGTTCCGTTTAGCAAGTTTAAACATTGCTTAGACTTGCTAAATATTGATTACTACGTGATGTAGTAGGCCCTGAGGGGCGAAGTTGGGGAGCTCCTGGTGTAGGTGTGTTGGCCTTAAGGTGGAGCTTGCCCGGGGCTTGTGATGCAGGTGGAGCATTATGAGTTGTTATACTTGGAGACGAGTATGTGATGGGTCTTGGTTGAAGACTTATCGGGATGTATGGCTTATGCATGAGTCTTGCATCGGGTTTGGCTTGAGATGTTTTTCCACTATGTCTTGATGGGGTCGTTTGCTGACTACGAGTTCTCGTCAAGGTGGAGATTGTTGATAAGTATTAGGTGACTCGTACTTCGTAGCTTTGTCCGCCCGATCGGGCGGACATTGCCCGGTCTGACCGGGCGGTGGGGGTTGGATACGTTGAAGCATTCGTATGGAGTTTTCTTCTCGCGCCCGATCGGGCAGACCTTGCCCGGTCTGACCGGGCGGAGAAGGAAAAATGCGGAGACGCGGATTTTACGATTTAAAGTTATCTTTTATGTTATCTTTTTGCCCAAGTATCTTTTATTTTAGGGATTAATATAAAACCTCCCTAATATTAGTATAAGGGTTAAGAGAGAGAGAGTGAGAGCCGTTCTTGAGAAATACAAGAATCATCTTTGTAATCTTTGCAGTTTATAGTGAAATCATTCGATCTCGGTGCCCGTGGACGTAGCTATCACATCGATAGTGAACCACGTAAATTCTTGGTGTTGTTCTTATTGTTTGCATTGAATTTCTTTATTGTTTTCTTGTTTGTTTTCGACCTTTGCTTCCGCTGTCGCACAACAACAACCATCACTTTTTTTCGTGGTAACGGAGTCCTAATCATGAATTTGAATTTTGATGCGACAGAAGCAGTTATTAACATTAACAAAACCATTGAAAGAACAAGCTATAAGGGATTCATATTGCAAGAATCTCCCAAAAACCATGTGCATAGCTGACTTGGGTTGTTCCTCCGCCGAGTCGAATACCTTGAGTTTGATCACTGAGCTTTTAGACACCATCGAAAAGGCTCATCGAGAGCACGGGAACGAGCCCCAAGAGTATCAAGTCTACTTGAATGATCTTCCAGGGAATGATTTCAACACAATCTTTAGGTCATTGGGAAAATTTGAAGATAAGCTTAAGAAAAAAATGGGAGATGATTTTGGACATTGTTTTGTGAGTGGTGTACCTGGCTCTTTCTATGGTAGACTTTTCCCATCAAACCACCTACATTTTGTGCACTCATACAGTATCCATTGGTTGTCTCAGGTGATGTCTCTATTTTTTTTTTTTTTTTTTTGTTTTCTTTTGTATTATTGCTCTAACAACTTTAATTCTGTCCATCAATTATATTGTATAAATCTGTCCATAAAAAAGAAAAGGTAAACAACCCTTGTCCATTCCATTGTATAATCACTTTCTTACACATAATAATGATATGTGACTAAGCCAATTGTACATTGATAAAAAAAAAATGGATTTTTGCAAGACACATATGATTGTATTTCCTAGAGGAATTGAATAACATATAAATTTAAAAATGAAAAATATTATAAAGAAAACAGGTCGTGTAGATTAAGTTAACTTGTTACAATTTAAAAAAAGTCATACGAAATAATGTTCAATCATGCATATTTAGGTCGAGTAAGCATTAGTTCTGACTCAACCATGCCTTGACATTTTTCATTTTTCTATATATATATATATAAAGAGAACGATAATTCTAACAAAATTCTACGTATATGTATGACAATTTTTATTGTGATTATAAATAACAAATGCTAATAATCAAATGTTTTATCGTAATTGTGAATGACAAATGCTAGTCTAACTAAAGATTATGAATAGTGACGAAAGTTAGAAGGGTCAACTAAAAAAGAACAAAAACATGTAGGTCATAAAGTCATAATCGTGTCTAATAATATCAATCTCATCGTATAGTCTATATTTAATCAATGTAAATCACGGCGGCGTTCAAATCCAACTAAGATCAATTATACTAGTTACATTTATGATGTTGATAGTTTGGAGTTTAATCATTTTAATTTGATCCGACAAAGTTTAATTTGGTGTTTGATGATTTTGAAACAGATACCAAAAGGGATAGAGAACAACAAGGAAAATGTTTATATATCAAGGACAAGCCCCTCCAATGTGGTTAAAGCTTACTCTGACCAATTTGAAAATGATTTTACGACGTTTTTAAGGCGTCGTTCTGAAGAAGTAGTAGCAGGAGGGATGATGGTGCTAACAATGTTGGGAAGAAAAACTGAAGAGTTATATAGCAAGGAATCATGCTACATGTATGACCTTCTTGCTACAGCTCTCAATAGTATGGTGTTTGAGGTACTCATGCATGATACACCTTTTCTTTTCTTTTTTCCTAACATGATAAACGTATTAGTTGTTATATAATGCTAGTATTTGATATACGAAGTATATGAAATAGAATAATTTAAATTTGATTTTACAATAAAAGTGTAAATTTATTGGTGATTCAATTGTAATAATGCTAAAGTTTAGTAAGCCATTATAAGTAAATTATCAAAAAAAAAAAAAAAAAATCCTCCCATATATAATAGAAGTGATTATTGCACGTAAAAGATAAAGATTGATTGAAATTATATGATGCTAGTATTTTGATTACTTGATAGAATTCTTTAAACTATATTGATGAAAAGTAAAAATGTAAATGGCACGTGATAGATTCAATGGTAATACGAAGTATGTATATGCTAATGTACGGTAAGATTGTACTTACAAGCAATTTTCTCGATCAAAATAGAGGTAATTGTAAGCAAAAGATAAATATTGATTAGAAGCATTACAAAAATGACTAAGGTGCAATGTGTTGTACACAATAGCATTTTCAAATGTACATATACTTAGATATAACTAATTATTAATAGATCGATTAATTAACGTTAAATTATGTGATAAAGGCTAGGATGATCTTCCTCACGATGAATCAAAGAATTTATTAGAACTATTTGATTAAAAAAAAAAAATTGATCATTGCAATGTACGTATGTTTGCAGGGTTTAATAGACGAAGAGAAGTTAAATACATACAACATCCCTCAATACCCTCCATCAGCAGCAGAGTTGAGAAATTTGGTGGATAAACAAGGATCTTTTAGTTTCGATCAAGTTCATGTTTGTGAAGTTAGTTGGGAAGCAAACGAATGCTATAAGTATTCATCATCAAAGGAGTCCGATCATTACGACTTCTATAAGTGCATGAGATCTGTGGTTGAGCCCTTACTAACAAGTCATTTCGGCGAAACCATCATTGAAGAGATTTTCAAGAGATACAAGGACCTCATTCAAAATGCAATGGCATTAGAAAACAATGTGTTCATCAACGTTACGATATCCCTTACTAGAAAGGGATAATTAGTAATTCCCATCGAGAAAATCTAAGTATATTTAATTATCTTTTGCACAATGTACTTATAATAAATTCGACTTTGATATTAATGACTTAATGTATGTGATATTAGAGTTGTGGATTAGCTTCTTGTATGTGTTTGCCTTATTGGAGTTCATTCTAGCTAGTATTTTCAAATACTCCATATATATGTATGAAATTAAATAAGCAAAATATTGTGTTTTAATTTGATTATATAAGTAATGATGTATGTAATCAAATAATTTTGCATCGGAATTCCATACTATTTACCAAGGAAAACTTAATAAGTGGCCGGACTAATTTTTTAGGACTTAATAAATTAAATGGAATTTAAAAGTCTTTTTAAATAGAAATAATTGCTCTCGTGTTTCAATAAAATGAAACATTTGCCATCCCTAAAATGTAGGATACCATGTGGAAAAGTGGAATTTGACTATATAATTAAACAAGGAATCTTAATCTTAAGGCTATAAAAAGGCGGTGAATAAGTAGATTGGAACACATCAAAAAAAGAAAACTGAGAAAAAGAGTGTCTATATTTAGCTTAAGCAACATAGACTATATGATTGATAATGGCAAAGAGACATGTTAACGTTCTCCCGCTTCTTATTGTTGCAATCATTCTGATGGCGGCCACTCATGAAGTGGCCGCTACGTGCCAAGATAGTGGCCAGGGTTGTGCAAAACTCTACAAGTCGTGTTGTGGAAACCTACTTAGTTGCAGTGGCTGGTTTTTGGGTTTTTACGAGCCGTGCCCATCACCTGGCCAATCTTGTAGCTTTTTTAATCAATGTTGCCCACTTGCCCTGGCCTCATGACGTTAATTAAACAGAATAAAATAATTGCAACGTGATTAGACCCAACTTCATAGAAGTGCACTTCATGACGTTGCCAACTCATCTCCATGTTGGACACGGGTGATGGATGCGTTGACTTTTATTAGTTTAGTAAAGGTTACATCTGTAATTTTACATAATTTTGAAGCTTGTATAAATAGATTAAATCCAAGTACCACCAAAAAGGCCAAAGAAATTAATTACTTCGTATAAAAATATTGCTAATTTGTTACAAGGGCAAAAATGATGAAGATGAAGAAATATAATAAGGCTCTCCTTTTCGTCGTTGCCTGCATTATTATCATGGTTGTATCAACTAACGTGGCCGCCCTGCATTCCGATAGAAGGCAGTTGCTTACGCGCTTAGGCTTAGGTGTAAGCGATGATGCACCATGCCAAGGAGCCGGGGAGGCTTGTGGTATCGATTTTCCCTGTTGCCCCGATTACTCGTGTGACAATGAGGATTGGGGTACCTGCTTATAGATCCGCGTGATTCATCTCTGTGCATGCCTAAGTTGGTTTTGATGATCGAGTTTGCCCAAGTCAAAGAAGAAAGAACAAAAAGAATATGAGTGAGTTTACGAGTAGATGGTCGCGTATATGTACGTAATATATACTCCTGAAATGAGACTACTACGTACTATAGTAATATGTATCATGTGTTGTTTGATTCAAAGAAGTGTGCCTTTAAATTTTCTTTTATTAAGTTTACATAATATGCATATATTGTAAACAAGCCCTAGTTTTTAGAAACCAAAAACAAGAACACAAAATGTTAATGAACCAACTTAATCAAAAGCTTAAATTAATAGTTGAGGTCCAAAGAATATGTTTTATAATCTATCACGCCCCCCACAAATTCTTAGCTGCATCACGCTTAAACGCAACAATATATTAACAAAACGCAAGCTACCTTCTTCTTCCTTCTTTCTTTATGTTCTTCCTGCAGTGTTCTTCTTTCTTTTTTCTTAGTTTTTTCCTTGCTTTTTTTTTATGATTCTTTCTTCACTTTCATAATAATTTTGATTGCAATTTTCTCTCTCCATTTTCCTCTCTTTTATTCAACATTTTCTCTTTCCTTCGTTTTCTGCATCACTGATTTGGTTGATATTCAGAAGAAATATATCATCAATGGATGTTAGTTTCTATGTTGTTCGTTGATTTTTAATTAGTTTTAATTAAGTCAGATTTTGGCTGAATTTGTAATTGATTTTCTCATTTTATAATTTGTTGAATTTCAATTTGACGAGTTTGATGAATTTCAATTGACTTTTTGATGAATCTGGCGAATTAGAATATTTCAATTGAATTTTTGAATTTCTTATGAATATTAATTTAATTGATGAGTTTGTGATAAATTAATGAATTGCTGCATCTTGAATTCGGTTGTTATTACGATTTTTGATTTTTTTTTTAATTAAGTTGCTAATATTTGTGTATAGTTTTCAGGAAAAAAAAATGAACACGGTGTACTTTAAAATTGAACATTTAGTACATTAAAAATGAACATTTAGTACGTAAAAACTGAACATTTTTTAATGATTTATCTAATCTTTATTTTCCGTTAGTAATTATATACAATGAATTTAAATTTATATGAATATAGGAAAAATATGTTCATTTTTAATATACTAAATGTTCATAATTTTTTTTTTGACGTGTTCATTTTTTTATACTAATGTTCATTTAATGTGTTCATTATTTTTATAATTTTCATTTTATTAGGTGTGGTCCATCTATTCTATGATTGTGTTATAAATGTTCATTTTTAATATACTAATGTTCATAGTTATTTTTGAAGTGCTCATTTTTTTATTACTAAATGTTCTTTTTATTTTTACGTATTCATAATTATTTTTACTAAATGTTCATTTTTAAGGTCGTGGTCCAGCAATTTATGATTATCATGTTCATTTTTAATATACTAAATGATCATTTTTTTTAACATGTTCACTTTTTAAATACAAAATGTTCATTTTTTTATGTGTTCATTTTTTAGTATTGAATGTTCATTTTTTTTTACGTGTTCATATTTTAGACTATATGTTCATTTTATAGGCACGCTCTCTAACACGAGAGCCCGTCGAGCTGGAAGTGTGGATATAGCATGGACCCTCCTCATACCAGCGCGAAATATTCCACTTGAATGTGGGGGTGGATGAGATTTGAACCAATAACCTTTGTGTCATGTTGGCTCTGGTATCATGTTAATGGGCCAAGTCAACCAAAAGCTTAAACTAATGGTTGAGGCCCAATAATATGTTTTATTGTTAGGAATATAGGAAAATATATTATCAAATTAATATATCTTTGTGATATTTTAAGATAAGATTAGGTTAAGTATTGATATTGATATATTATCTAATTAGGGAGTTTAAGATTTAGAGTATTTAACTATTTACGAATGATATGTTGCTATTATATAAATAGCCTATTGGTAATCAATAATAATCAAACCATTCTATTATATCTTTACCCAAATTTGACATTTATACTCTATCACAAAATAAAGTATGTGCTACTTTGGTTTTTTTATTTTTATTTTTTTTATTAATGAAAATCAATTATGGACTTCAACCATATAAACCAATTATTTATTAACTTATATCTGTAACCCTCATAACAAAGACTTGAATTTTTATTATTCTATTTTGAATTGATAATCAAATAATTATTGAATATAAATTCCTTTATACACGCCCCCCCCCCCCTTATCTCTTCTATCTCTTCTAAGGTTTTAGATTTCTTGGCCATTTGGCCGAAAATAATCTAATTTCTTTGGAAATAAGACTATTTTCGACCCTTTATCTTTAATTCAATTTTGTTTTTTTTGCTTTGATTTACGTTTTGGTTTGTTTTTATTTGTTTTGTTCTCTCCATCTATGAGAGTCTATCCCAATTTTCTGGCTTTTTCCCAATTCTTTGGGATTTTGATTCTCATTCATGGATGAGAATTTTATTTTTAGGGATCTTATAATAATTGGAAAGGTGATTTGGATTCCTATGGGTCTAGGGTTTATCATCAACTTTTCGATCAAAACATTAGCGCAAATTGCGAAGGTCTCTAATTGGAAAGATGCAAAGACATTGAAAATCATTGTCCGCGTCAAACTTGAAGCGGTGGGGTATGAGCTATGCCAAATATGCAAATTAGTTATGAATTTGATTGTAAAAGTTATGGTAGTTTTTCTAAACCTGTGATTTACAAATCTTTATTGTTGTAGATGTCGTATGGTTATTATTTAATGATATTATTATTTCCCGTTCAAAAAAATATAAAATAATTATTGAATATGATTAGAGGCAACTTCAAAGAAGGGCACCGCCGGCCTCAGCTCATGAGTTCATGACATTGCTAGCTCAGATCACGCCTCGTAGTTAATTAATTAGACACTAATTATAATTTTGTAAGAGGGATAGGTGTATTGACTTTACTAATTATTACTTAAAAATTTACGTCATTATAATAACGTAAGACATTATTTTGGAGGTTATATAAAAAGGGACATGACATATAGACAAAACACCAAAAGGATAAGAAAAACAAATGAATAACAAGTCACCATAGAAAAAAAAAAAATTGATCAATGAATTGTGTTAAATGAAAATGATCAAAGTTACTCCTATTCCCATAAAATTTTCTCATTTCCATCGATCAATCAATAACATAATACTAAAACAGACACAAGGAATGACACGTGTCACTTCCTGGTGCTGTTTTTTGCCTTCAAAACTCTTCTTCCTTTTTAGCAAAATCTTTTATTTTCGGAATATTTAAATAATACAACTATAATAACTAGGTTCGTGCCATGCACGATAACTTTCAATAACTGTTTTAATTTACACAATATTTAATAATAATAAAAAAATCTGGCTGAGTTATTAATTCGTAAAAGGAATTTATTGTGCAGGAGTCTATTATTAGCAAAATAGATATTTTAAAATACGTATGTATGTATATTTATATATATTTCCCCAACAAATTTATATAATTTCTTTCTTGTTAACCAAAAGAATATCTTAACAATATGTATTTAACCCGTAAATAGATTTTTTTTTTTTTTTTTTTGCATACTATTATTCATTCTCTCTTATGTAGTATTTTTTTTCCTCAATAATCAATCAACTTAAAGTATTTTTTCATATCTTTCTTGGCAAGCTTTTCATACATAATTAAAGATAATTTTTTTAAGAAAAATTCCTTGTTTTATTAATGGTAATGTAGTACATAATACTGTACATGTCACAAATTATGTTAAGAATTTGATTTTTTTTTTTATTTTTATTTTATAGTATCAATATATACTGTGGAAGGATACATTAAATCTTTATAATATTTTATTTGTGTATAATATTTGTTTTCTAAATA